GAAATATATCCACCGTAAATGGATAAGTTCCTCAAAGCAATTGCCAACAATGAACTGAAACTCCGTTTTTACGATAAACTAAGCTTCCTTAACATCTGTTTTTTTTTCTGGCTTACAGTCTTTTTCCTTCATAGCTGTTTAAGTTAAGATAAGTCACTTGAAGTCTGACCCAAATATCAATAATGTGTTGAATGATGTCTCTTCTATTGTGACGATATTTGTAAGTTGAATGAAGTCCATCTTGCCTGAATAGAGCGCTGTTCGATTGTGTGTCGTGGAACCAAAACCCAGAGCAATTTTGACTGCCGATCAGAAAAGAGGAAAATACCTTTAGGAAACAATGAGAACTCCTAGTAAGACCAACCAAACTGTCTAAAACCGGTGCAGGGAAAACACGAGCGACCACGTCTGACTGATTTTACTCTTGCTTCTGATTGGTCGAGAGAGCGATGCGAGTTTTCGGGACTAATCACAGAGAAAAGTAAGATTGCTTTCGACAGCAAATTGAAATTTCTCTTATAACCAAGGTCTTTTTTATCTTTTAGTGGACCGAGGCAGGTCTTATAGCAGAGTTCAAACACATAAAAGAGAATAAAACCACTCTTCCCGATTTCCCGACCTTCTTGCCTTTAGTCATCTAGTCTCTATGCTCATCAGATGTATGATTACAGCTGCAACTCTTGCATGCCTCTGATCCTTGTTACCGTTGCGATGACGACCACAATTGAATGCTTTTTTGAAGGCCTCTTTAAACTGCGGATTCATAATCCCATAGATGATATTGGATTTACCACACTACTAGAGAACAACAAATACGCAGATACCTGAAGCACTTTTTTTGGAATATGACCTCCAGCAGTGATTGTCGAAAGTCTAAAGGCTGGAGGACCCAATGTTACAAAAAAAGAAACAGACCACTGTAGAACAGGACTTCAAAATTTTGATTTCACGATGTTGGAACCGTGGTGCGCGGACGCCATTTTGTACGACATTGGCGTTGACATTACCAGTGCTTCTTTCACTGTTTGATAATTTTTCCAATAGGAGTAAAATATTGCAAATGCCGTCAGGCTGAAGAACCCTTCAAGCAGTATAACAAAGGAGAAGTGTCCTTCCCTCTTGTTGAAGGCGCAAATTAAAGAATCTGAGTCGAATTTTATATTTCCCCATCCGTGCAAAGGAGGTGTGGCAAATAGCACAGAAGCACACACAACAGCCAGACGACACCTCAGTACAAACAAGCAACTCTCTTACTGAGAAAGAACTTATTATAAAAGAATCGCTTGACAATAAACGCACGAGGTTCGTTTTTGGTCCGCCATACTGCTTTGTATGTTTGTCTTGAATGTGTACGATTTTCACCTCTCCTTCCGCAGCCGGTAACATGTAGCTGACCATCGCCCTCAGTTCTTCATATGGGCTCCCGAAAAATCTTAGGATTAATGGTGTTGATGGATTTTGTACCTTTGTTGACAACAAATCCTAAAGATCGATTTTTTTTTTCGGATTTCCTTCTTGTCTAAAAGAATACTCACGTTCTTTTTAGTTCGGTAAGGTAGGATTGTCAAGCTATTTTTCTCTGTGATCGGGATTGTATCTCCTTTGTTATCCGAATCAGATAAATCACTCTGATTAAGCAAACTTGGGAAATCATATCCCCTCTGTCATTGCCCTACCTGCCTTCTTTAATGAGGATAGGTTTTCAAGAGTTTTAGATGTTAGATGAACGGTGGTTATTAAACCTCCTTAATGTTTATGCAATCGAGTTTAGCAGTAAAAGATTTCTTTTTACTGTAAATACAAAAAATTTTTTTTACGATTTTTTTTTTTTAATTTTCAAATCTACCCTTCAGACAAGAGAATAACTAGATTATGAAACAAAAAAGAACTTGAAATAAATCACTCAGTGATAATAGCTCTCTTGTAATAATTTTTTCAAATTCAATAAAGCCGGCCCCCGTACTTAAGTCGACTTTCACCCGAAAATCTTGGCAATCATTCCCTTCGCTGAAGTAGACTCATGATGACGGTGTCAGTGAAAGTAAAGCCAGTAGAAGTTGAATTATAACATAACCAAAGTAAAG